TAGAGTCTTTCAGCTGCTGGGAGGGAGGATCTGTGATAACGCTCAGTGGTGCATTTAGGGTGCAGCAGTCTGTCACTTAGGGAGCTCTCCACTTCTGCAACAGCTTCATGCATGGGGTTGGAGACATTATCCAACAGAGATGTTAATTTAGTTAGGATCTTTTTGTTTCCCACCTCCTGCACTGAGTCCAGAGGGCATCCAGTCACAGAGCTGGCCTTCCTGATCAGCTTATTCAGTCGCTTTCTCTCAGCCACAGATAAGCTACTGCCCCAATCTTGGCTGTTTGTGTTTTACAAACAGTTTGGACTATACTTGCTATAATTGATGTCAAGGCTCCAAGATGTAGCAAACCTATTGTTGCCAAAGACCCCAGCTCACCTTCAGTGCAGGGCTGGTTTAATAGCAAACCTTCTGTCAAAAACAGGTGGTTAGAATTTTAGCCCTGATCGATGTGTTACTATTGACCAGCCAAGGTTGATTAAAATGCTCTCAACATATTTCATACTTCCTGGATTGAATTTTTCCAGAACAAAATCTAAAACGATGCTTTCCCTGAATCATCAGCCGGTACCTGGGACTCCTCTGAGCTTCTGTTTTTAAAGACGACTGGCATCTTCTGCTATCTGACATGTGTTCAATGTTTTCTCGTGACTTGTCATGGGACTTCTTTGCAATACACACACTCACACAGAGTTCCTCAGTTTATTTGCTTTTTGGAAAGTAAATCTTTGTCTTCCACTCTTTTCTCTGCAGACTTTAATCCAATTATTCTGCAGGCAGATCAGCTGCAACAGATGTGCTCTCTGTCCTATAAAATCAGACTGGATCATTCTTCCTGGATTTCTTTCTTGGCGTCTCAAAAGAAGCTCCTGTTGTGTTATTGTGAAGTCACCAATTATTTAAAATTTAAGATTTAATAAGTTTGTTATTTTAAAACCTGAACAAATATGAATAGATATCTCTCACACATTAATTTGTGGTATTGGTTTTGCCTTTGGCATACCAAATATATATATTGAATTGAAAAAGCTTCCTGGATGGGAAGCGAAATGTCTTCAAACTTGGAAACAAATCCCAGTGTATTGTTTTTTAACTTTTTTGGAATGACTATGACCTGGATGACTGAGAATCTTCACAAGCTTACAGCAGATATGTAAAAAAAAAAAAAAAAAAAAAAAGAGGATTGGAAAGCTTTAGTTTTAAAAATCATAATAGGCTGAGATGGTAAGGTAGGTGTTTGGTGTAACACTCAAAGCATTTTTAAAACAGGTACATTCCAGATTATTCAAGAATAACATAACTCGCCTCATAATCAACAGCATTTTTTAGTTTGATGGTACCTCGACTGCTGTTCATTACTGTAGTTCTTGGATTTTTTTCAAGCATTTAATATTTTTTTCTTAAAACAACACACAAAGGTTTCATTTTTTCATGACATAAGATTCATGTTAAATGCTGAATGCATTCTTGACACCTAAACCTAATGAACAAAAACACTTCTCACTGAGCTGAGGAAATACTGAGTAGAACAGTCACATTTTATTGCAGAAGCCAGATACAAATATTTTAAATAACTTTTCCACTACAGTAATTCTTTCAAAGGGGCTTATTCCTCCTGTACATTAATAACAATAGATTATATGATTACAAAGCAAACTATAACTTAAATATCAAAAGGCTGTACAAAAATCAGGAAGTAGAAGAAGTTGGTGTAGACACTACTTATAGCATACAGGTATAAACAAAACATACAAAAGAGGCACTTATGAATATAAGAGAAACCTGCACACACAAAACTGTATGTTTACATATTATTTTCACAAAGAGTCGACATACTTAAGTCCATGTTATCATACAATCTACCTGATAAGGTACTTTTACAATTATATCAGATACACTTGGCGGAAGAGTGATGTTGAAACCTTGTCATCTGTTCCCACAGGAAGAACATGTGATTAAGTCAGGAAGAACCGATTTCCCTAAACGCCCCCAACCCCCCACCCACAAAAAAATTAAAAATAAAAATGCCTGGTTCACATCTGGCATGGCTTTTAATTTCACAGATTTCTTTAAATTGCAAGAAAAGATAAGAAGTCAAACAATTAGACTTAATTGGCCTCTAACCATCTTTATAAATTACAGGATTTCAGTGCAGGTATCTACAGTACGTACTACATCCTTTTTTCTGAGCTAAATTAGAATATTTGTGCAAGAGTGTTTTTCCAAATTAACATACCTATTTAAGCACAATGAGTACTGCAGCTCTACAAGCATAGGCCTAAGGAGTAAGTCAACTTCACAGACTAAAAACATGGTCAGAACTACATAAGGTTAAAGTTCACATTAAGTTGTATAATGGCCAAGGTTACACAAGTTGAACAGGTCTTTTCTTTATAGTGTGCAGCAGTTCAGAGAAACCTATAGTGTATTGACTAAGGAAGACAGATTGTCAAAAATATTAAACACACATGCCACCTGTTCGGTCACGATAACGTCACTCAAAATCAACTTTTATAGTGTTTTCTATTGTTTGTTTTTTGTTGTTATTTTTTTTTTTTAGGAAAAGAGGACTTATAGGTGACATTACAACCCGTGGAGAATGTGCTTATAAAAGTTTTCTGTTGTTGGCACCAAAGGACTTAATAAAAAAGGTTTGATCTCAGCAATGGGTGGATGACAAAAACAAGCATTTACAGTTTCCTCTATAGTTTTTTAGAAACACAACCTCATTTTAAATGGTCTATAGAATGAGATTTCAATGTCTAGAGTTGACTTTTAAAGGCTTAATACCTAATGACCATAATCGGAAGGGGTTTAGAGCATTTAATTTAATTAAGGTAGAATAAGAAAGATAAATAATAAGTAATGAGTTTAAAACAATGGGAACTCTGATAACGAAGACAAGAACCCGCATATATTAGCAGCACATACCACAAAGGTCTTTGTTAGAGAGTGAAGCAAAGACTCCTATTCTGTCGCCATAGTAACTACATACCAAAAAAAAGAAACTAAACAATAAACTTTTTCAGTCCTACATTCAAAAATGTAAATTTGTGGAGTTTTTCTATTTGGAATCAGACAACTGCAAACTAATCTGTAGGTTGGTTTGATCTGAAAAGGAATAAATATTTGATAAGGATCTGCAATGCTGCAGATCTTTTAAAGAGAAACATAAATAGCCTTCCATAATAGTTATTTTACAAACATTCTTAATGGCATAGAAAATCCATGCAACCTCTTATCTGATTTGACTTGATGTTTTTCTATTTGCAAAAAGGGAGTTCAGCGGATTGTAAAAAGCAGTTTGACTTATTAGTAAAATATTATTTTCTAACCTATTTAGATCTTTTACACATTACATTTGATATCATACTGCTGTAATAAAATCTTTTTTAAGGGTTTTTACATGCCTCTTCCATTGATAAGAAGTAATTAAGGATGAAGCAAGCTCTCGTGAATTCATTTATCCTTACCTCTTAAAGGAAACTACCTCTAAACATTGTTGAGTCTAGGATATTTTTCCATTTATCAATGTTTACACACCGGATGTTTCCATTTTTACCAGGACTGAATGTCACCAAAAGCCTTACAATTCCTTTTTTTTTTTTTTTTTTTTTTTTTATAAAATCAACTAAAAGGTTTTGTATTTTGCTCTTCAGGTGAAACATTAAAAATCACAGAGTAGATACACGGTTGTGTCTGCTATCAACAAAAATAACGAGGCCTTTAGGTCAATCTAAAAAACTGGTTTTAAAGTATTGCTCACCAGTAACTCATCTTTTCCCTAGATAAAGAAAGCACAAATAAAACAAACTATACTAGTCATCAATATTGCCTTCCTACTAGAGCTTAATGGTGAATCATGATGTAAGGCAAACATCTACCCAGTGTTTTCTTCTTTATAAAAGTTCAGACCTTCTGACAAAAGTCATTTAATTCATGTCTCCACTGGTTTGAATGGTTTTGGAAGGTCATTGAAAATTACGATATGTCTAAAAAACGAGATTATAATTCTATGTAACCAGTTTTGCAATGTATTTCTAAGCCCTTAACCTGAACTGATTCTATTTTTTGTTTATTATTTCAAATGTGTTTCATTGCTGATATCCTGGGTCTGAGTATCTAATAAATATAAAACAGAGACAATCTCTTTCCAAAGGGAGTGAGCCTAGCTGTACTCACTCCTCTCTCTTCTCCCACTAACGGGCATCAGTGGCATTTGCAATCCGGCCTCATAAGAACCAAGGTCTGGGAAGCCCTTTATCCCTCCTCCAACCAGGTCCTGGCACATTATGGCATCATGGGAAGACACTGTGATCCTGCTACTCACAGATGAGGAAGTATTCTCCTCTACCCTCCTGTTTAGCTCTGGTGTGGGAGCAGGAGCTCTGATCCCGCTGCTCCCGGCGCCGACGCTGCCAGTGATTCCCTTCTTAGGTGGCGGCCCCCAGAGGAAGGCGTGGGCAGGTTTGTAGTGCTTGCGAGCGAAACGGAGCAGGCGTCGCCGTGTGGCAGGTAGGCGGATGGTGTAGACGAAGTACTCCAGCACACTGTGCTGCATGTTCGGAAGGGTGGCGTTGCACAGCGACTCCTGGAGGAAGAGACGAACCAGCGGGGCCTTAAAAGCCTCGTAGCCAAGCTCACCCAGGGACTTCAGGATGCGAGTGATCCTCAGGTAGTTGTGATGAGACCTAAGAAGAAAAAAAATGAAGCAGGAGTTGATGAAAATTCTGATGGATTAAAAGGCAAATTGTAGCAGAGTGTAACTGTTCTACAAAGTTCGTTTCCTGAAGGAGTAAACACACCATCTTATAAGTGCTCCCAGCCCTGTGATATGCTGGGAAATTAATGGGGAAAAAACATGAAGACTGAAGCGATTACTTTAATAAACCCCTCTTAATAACCATTTTCTCCTGCTACTCTACAATAATGCATTTCTGATTACTTCCGCCATTAACCGAGCTCCAATTGTGTTTGTATTCAATAGGAAAAAAAACCTGCCTCAGTGCTTCTGTTTTCAGCCATTTTTCTTTACTCAGTAGAACCAAAGATGGAGCTAATGCTGGAGATAACTTTGTGTGCTGCCTTCATTTTCCTTACAGATAATAAGTCCACCAGGATCAGAGCTTCTGTGTTTAAATGGGCTGCTTCTCATTGACAACACAAAAAAAACACAGATCAGAGTTAAATAATAACAAAATAAAAAAGTATTTCAATGAAGAGATGGTAAAGATGATGAATCTGATATGTTGGCTCAAACTTACATTATAATAACTAAACATCCTTTTTATGAAAACAGCATAAAGAGTGCCCTGATTAAGACCATTTAATAGTACTTCTAATAGTTGCGAGGGCTAAATAAATCTGACGGATAATTACAGACCAGATATCAAGAAACATGTTGCAAAGAACATAAGTTTCTGCCGTTAAGCTCATCCTTTTTTTATTTTCTTGTAAAAGTCCTGCAGCTATTTTTTATGCAGAAATGAAAATTATTCATTTTGCATATTTTTCAATTCATCTTATTCAGTTAGCCACTCCTTGATCTGAGCATGTCATCTCTGAAAACTCAAGAGCATTTTATTAGTTTTAAACTTTTCCCAGCTGAATCTCCTAATTGTGATAAACTTATTCTGTTCTATTTAGTTCAATCATACAGGCATTTGCTTCTGGAAGTAAACAGACATTTCCTATAGGCCATGAATCACCTGAATTGCATGTGGAAGAAAAATCAATTTCCTTGTAACTTAAAACATGCTGCTTTATATTTGGCTGCCAATGGGGGAGCATTTCAGTTGCATTGAAATTAGAATGATTACCTTCCTAAAAAGATGGAAAAGTAGCAAACGGAAAGGAAATGATAGGGTTCCCCACACATATTCAGCAATTTATCATCAAATGGCTGCTGCACAGCATGCTGTGTGCATGTGTAGGCTTACTCATTAAGGTGCTGGAAGCGTTCCTGCCAGTTGGGGGCCCGAGCGACATTACCACTTTTATCCAGCAGTTTGATGCCATAAAAATCCAACATCATTGAATAAGCCGCCAAGAATCTCCGCTTTGCTTCCCGAGTGCTTTGGAATTCCTGATGGGTTTAAAACGAAAAACAGGTTCGGTTCATCAGCACCTTTCTACACAGACAAGAACTTGTAAAGACTATACAGAGAAATGGTTACTTTGTTTCCTCTGCAACGTTGCTTTGTCTCTAACTAAATATACATTAATTATTAATGTTGATGAATGAGTATTGGGGCATAATTGACACATTTTCTCAAACTTAGCACTAAAATAAAACAAAGAAGCCAGGTTCTATTGGTAAACTTGGACCTTACTTTTATCTCGTCCTGAGTCAGTTCATGTGCGTAGAAGTTGAGCCCTTGTTCTCTTAATGGGAACAGCCTGGGACACAGGGGAAGGAGACGAAAATCCAGGTTAGAAGAAATGAATGAGAGGATGATTACTCAGGGAATAATATTGATAATTAGCTGGAGCGTCACTTCCTCAGCACTTTTTAGTGCTGCTTACAACAAGCAGAATTAGCTCACTCCTCTCTTACAGAGGCAGATTATCTTTAAAATAACATTTAATATTAAAGTTCCCCATTTAAAAACTCGCAACTCTGATATGAAGGAGATAAGGTCAATATTGTGTTAAATGTTGAGAAAACCTTCAACTTAATGAGGTCAAATGTTACCAAACATACAGGAAAGAAACCATTTAATTTGGTTACATTAAAAAAATTTCCATTCAGACCACGACAAGGAGTGAACTTTTTAAGACAAGCTTTACCTGCTTTAAAATTTACTGTCTAAAGTGAAGATTTATGACTTCAGTAAAAGCATAAAAGTCATCCTGAATAAAATTTATCAAAATAACTAAGTTATGATTTGAAAGAAGCCAAACTCTTTACTTGTTAGGGGCATTTCTGATCATTTTTGTAGTAAATAATAAACGTAAAAAAAACTCAAATGAAATAAGGGGATTTAAAAGTTTTTTCCTACCTGATTCTGAGTAAATGAACAAAAACTCAATTATACAGAGAAGCAAAAAAAATTATTATTGATAAAATATCACCGCTGTCCAGCCTTCCAACTGCAACACAGGATATATGCAGAACTCACATAGAAGCACAACCACACATTTTAGGATAGATGGTTGGAAATCATGGGTCTTCATTATTTATCAATAACACAACCCTAAAAGATACACGTGCTGAAGAATATGACGCAAATTTAATGTCATCACAATATGAGCATGTGTTTGGAGTTTAACAGTCATTGGCTTATATGTTCTAAGTACATTTTCATGCTAATAGTCAGTTCAATAGAAGTTTATAGGAGGAGATGCTTACAGACACAAATGGCATCATCATCATGAATGCTAAATATTATAAGAGACAGGTGAGACATTTAGAAAAGAGGACAACAGGCATGTATTGGAAAGTGTTATCATCCCAACAGTTACCATTGTCACTCTTATTATATCATGCAGCTCATTTATGCCACAGCAGATATAAAATCCTGCCTGTCTAATGAAATATGTCATCACTTCTTGGCAATATTTGCTTTAATACTCAAATTAATCTCCAAAAAAGGTTGCCAGAGAGTGAAGCCTGGTCCAGCTTTGACAATTAAACTAAAAAAAAATATGAATTAAAGCACAAGATTGAATAACAACACTCTGAGGGGCTGCAGGGATATTCTATCAAGACTTGAGTTATCAAATCCATATTTAAAAAAAAGATTTAAGCAAAAATTAAATACTTAAAATAAATACATGGTTTTAAATTTGGTTTTGCATTGCTAGTAACTGGCTAATTGTATTACAAACAGCTCTCCGCTTACCACTGAATGTAGGTGTGATTGTGCTCCAGTTTGTCATAGTCGCCTCTCCACTTTGAAAGAATTTCCTCGATGTAAATACCTGAGGAGAGGAAGCGGAACAGGAAATGTTGCACGTGTTCATACGTCACTCACGTTTCAGCTCAGTCAACTGATCTGCTTCAGCAAAATCAAAACTGGATTTTCCTGCATCCTGCTTCTGATCTTACCATCGGGAACCAGTGGGATTTTGTTCATGTAAAAGCGCAGGTTTCGATACTCGTTTGGCTGCCTGGACTTTCTATAGTTCTGCACAGACACACATGGAGTGAATACATCAACTCAGGATATCTACATGCATTTATGTGGAGGTAGAAGAAAGGATTTTTTTTTTGTTTTTGGAACATGCATGGTTGTGTGAATATACCGGATAGCTGTGACGGTATTTGTAGAGATCCCTGGCGGCGTAAAAACTCCTCTTCATCTTAGGAGCAGACTCCGGGGAATCAGTCAGCTGAACGTGGAAGATGGAGAAGAAGAACATTAATAAAGCAGAGGAAGAGATGAAAAGACAGCTAAAAGTAAAGAGGTCAAAATACAGGTCAAAACAGAGCAAAATAAATAAATAAATAATCCCATGTTACAACAGATGGAGTGTAGCTCTTATATGCTGTTCAAACGATTTAAAAGCATTTGCTCTCTTTTGAGGTCAAGTGCTGTCATCATTCATTCGCTTCTCAACAGCAAAGGAGGCCAACTCACATCAGTACCACGCTGCAGGCCCTGGAGAAGGATCCTGCATGTGAACCCTGTGTATAGTTTAGAATTTGCGAAAAATTTACTCACTTAGTTAGTGATTACATTAAGACGGTTATGACATCTCTGGACTTCTTAAAGAAACCAATTTTACCACATCTTGAGATAAGCATGCCGATAAGTTAGTTTTAGAGAGAGCAACAATTTCAGCAGAAAACAGGAAGGCTGAACTTGAAGCTGTTTTAAATTAATGTAGGCTGTGCCTATGATTAATATACCAATAAATAAATAAAAAAACAATAAGGAATAAAAACCAACTTTAATGCTAGCTCTCTCACACATCGCCTCGTCTTCTCATCATAGCAAGTTCCCCAAAAAACCTTCTTGTTAGATGCACTTTTACTAAAATTCTATTTACATCCTTTAGGAAGGCTTTTAAAACAAATTTTCATTTGCATTTACAGAAAAATTAACTGTGCTGCTTTGTATTATATACGAAAAATATGTTAACATGCCAGCTGAAATTATTAATCCTTATCAATTATTCATTTAATAATCAACTAATTCAGTTTCTTTTTTTCTTTTTTCTTTTTTTTTATAAAAATAGCCAGATTAATCTTTTTTTGCAGCCTTAGTTGACAGTCAGTTCCTCTACAGGTTTTTGCTCCCCACTGTCACCCCTTGCTTGCAGAATTGGGATCATATTGTGATAAAAATCCAGTACAATCTGCTGGTTGCCTTGATAAAATTTTTCTGCTATAATGGTTAAGCCAGTCACACTGAAATGGACCATACTGTACATATACTGTATATTTGCAGAGTAAGGTGCTTTTTAAGCCATATAAACAAATATAAAAATTACAATCTATTTATAAGTCTCCCTAATGATTCTCTGTTAGAAAAGCCACCTATAGGTTGTCACCGACTTTACATTTAAATGTTAGGTTTCCAAAATGAAGTTTGCCCTCAGCTTGGCCTTGTCAGAACACCGCGCGCTGCTGACTGGGCGCGCGGTGCGTCCGTCTGTTCCAGCGCGTGCATCACATTCATCACCCCCTCCTTGTACCTGCAGGCCAGCGTCCCCGCTTTGTCCCGCGGTCCGATCGCTCTCCGCCGGGCTGACGGAGTCGGAAATGCCGCTGTCATCTTCAGCCGTCGGCTCATCGCTCTCCGAGTCCGATCCCCACGTCGAGTCGCATTCCTCCACGGTGCTCGGCTCCTTGAAGCGCCAGCTGCCCACCAGGTTTCCCATTTACAATGCATGCAACTCTTGCCCCCTGTTATTGTCCTTCCGTCTGCGCTGGACGCTCCATCATCGGGTCCGCTGCTGCATGCGTTCAGGGGCTTCAGCACTGAGCTTTTAAACAGCATAAAAAAGGGGGAAATTCCACATCAGCAGCAATGATGCGCGTTTCAGTATGGGGGGTGATTAGTGCCACCGAGAGGAAGGGGGAGGTCTTAAAGCTGCAGATACAACCATCTCCTGCCTTTAAGAGGGCCAATAAAAATAAACAGTCCTTTGTCTGCTATTTCCCCCAACTATTTAATATTTTAAGTAACTTTGAAACTATACTGAATAATTATGCATAATTAATATTTTACTATATTTGAAAGCCACTATTATAAATTTAAATGTATCATAAGACATTCAACCAATTTGACTTTTACCCCAACCCATATAATGCATATCATATTTATTTAGTTCACAAATACCATGTTAGATATTAATTCAATTCAATTCAGTTTATTTATATAGTGCCAATTCACAACACAAGTCATCTCAAGGCACTTTACAGTTGAACCAGATCATCCAGTCAAATTGATTGAAGTTTTCTATCTAAGGAAAACCAGTAGATTGCATCGACTCATTGACTCGAATACAATCCCTCACACTAAGCATGCTTGTAGCGACAGTGAAAAGGAAAAACACCCTTTTAACTGGAAGGAACCTCCAGCAGAACCAGGCTCTGTGTGAGCGGCCATCTGCCGAGGCCGACTGGGGTTCAAGTAGACAGAAGCAGAGATAAAACAGGCCGGTCTCCAGCATCTATAAACAAGGGTGTTGATGGAAGCAGTACAGCTGATATTTCTCTCCAGGATGGAGTCACAGCCAAACAGGAAAAGGCGAGGAAAAAGCTACTATGAGAAAAAGCAGAGAGAACATAACGTTAGAGAACTAACAGATTCTGCAGATTGGGAGAATAGAGGCAGAATGAAGCAGAATGATGAAATGGGGGTCCCTATGTCCTCCAGAAGTCTAAGCCTATAGCAGCATAACTACAGAGATAGCTCAAGATAACCTGAGCCACTCTAACTATAAGCTTTATCAAAATATTATGATGTTTTAGGATAAAGCTTTGAAAACACTACAAACTATCCGGCATGCCGTTTCACCACCACTGTCTTTGCAAAGGGTTGACAGAATAACGATTGAGGATTACCTTTATCCTGGTCACTATTCGATCTGTTTGGACTCAAGCACATTCTGTACTGTACTTCTAACAGAACATCTATCACTTTTCCATTTGTATTTCATTGTAATAAATATTTGGTTTATTGCCGTATTTCGTTGTGCTAGTATAATTAGTGTGTAATAAAATAAATGTTTAATAAATGTACTTATACAGGACTTGACCAAGCGCTTTGCACTACATTGAGTCATTCACCCATTCACCTGGGTGAAATGTGTGAAATGTGTTACCCAAGGACACGACAACACTGAAACCCAGAGCAACCCTCCGGCTGCAGGGCAAACTACGTCATCCGACACCACTGTCGCCTCAAGATAGAACAAGACAACAAAAGGTAAGATTAAAATTGTGCAATCATTATCTGCTGGACTGTTGATTAACTTTTGGCAAATTATAAATTTAACAAATAGGTAGCAAACACATCCACTCTGTCAGCAAAGTGTTTTTTTTGTGCAATTTGTACAAATTGCACAGTTTTTGTACAATTTAGTTCAGCATGCTTTTATACTTAAGGATTTAACAATGGTCTTTATGCACAACTCTACTACTTTCAAAAATTAAAGCAGCTCATTTGTTTTCTGTCTTTCTCTAATTGATGAATAACTCAGGTGTGCCTGACCTCAGTAACCGTGACGACACTAGCAAAACACACCTGGATTAATCAGTTCATCCAGACATGAAAGCAGGAAACAAATTAGCTGCTCCAAATTCTGGAAGAAGTGGAGTTGTTCATAGAGCCCATTCCTTTCCACAGTGTTTCCTAAAGCATCTTCTGTAGCAATTTGGATGTATTTCTGGTTGCACATGTAAACAATTGGGTAGTGACAGGCCTCTATGTAAATAACTAACTCATAAAAGCATCCTGATGGTTAAAAAGTTCACTAAACACTGTCAGCTGTGTTTGGAGATGGTAAGTAAAATAATCTCAAAATTGTTTGCTTCAACATCATAAAATTAATTTGTATTTGGAGCATTCCTCCTAGATTTTTTCTAGTACCTAGTCCCCTTAAGTCAGGCATCCCCAAAGTTGGTCCTTGAGGGCCGCAGTCCTGCAGGTTTTAGAGGTTTCTCTGCTTTAGCACAGCTGATGCTGATTAATCCAGTTCAGCAAAAGCCTGTTAATCAACTATTAATCTAAATAAGCTGTGCTGGAGCAGGGAAACCTCTAAAACCTGCAGGACAACGGCCCTCGAGGACCGACTTTGGGGATGCTTGCCTTAGGTTTAAAAAAAAAACTAGGCCGTGTCATTGCTGAGAAGGAGTGAGGTTTGGGTTCTAACCCTAATTTGCATAAGACAAAGTTAGTGCATAGCTGAATGGAAATATGATGTAAGATCTAAGCAGTTATCATTCAAATCAGACTTACTGAATCAACCTTGAAAAGTACACCAGAGCTCAATATTTTTTGTTGCTGTTGTGAGCCTGTAGTTTGGCCTACCTGTTCGCTCAAATAAATGCCCCCTGTAGATGAGGCTGTGGCATTTGGCAGAATGAACAGAACTTTTAACATTGATGTGACTTTGACCGTAGGGTTTGCCTGGCTTCCCTGCTGCGGCTTCTGAAGTTGCTGTGATGAGAGAAACTGAGTGCATTTCTGACATCAGTGTAAACGTAGGAGACACTCGCGGGAAATAAAGTGAAACTTAGGAAGAGACGATCGAGACTTGATCAATCGTGTCATTAAAGTAGTTTCTGTTGTGCAAGCAAATAAAGGAACTGAGGGTTCATCAGTTTTGCCTCTTGTGACATCACAGAAAAATGAATAAGATGACATGCTTAATAATGATGTAGTTTCATAGATTGTATCCATTTTTTTATGATAAGGTTCAGTTTTCTTAATATTTTTTAAGTAAAATGATACAACAAATATAGGGTCAATAACTTTGTAAAATACACTCTAACCTACAGAGCAGATTTAAGCCCTACACATTAGCTATTGTTTTGTTATTATTTATGCTCTCCTGATTTGTCAAGATAATAAATTTGGAAGTGGATGACATCAAACTGTAAAGATCCAGATGCGGATTCACAAAACTAGATAATCACAGGTTAGAGTTGTCAATATTCCTTTAGAGAAAGCATTTTAATACTTTCTTTAAAGGTTTAAGGCCTGTTGCCTCAGGTATAGTAACTCTAACACATACTTTAATAAAGAATACAG